CNGGAAACAGGAAGTGTGCAGAGTGATTGCTGGCTGGCTGGGTGTAGCTGTGTGTTGTGTTGGAAGAGTTGAAGGAGAGCTGGAAGGAGCCTCCTGGATACTGTGGCTGGATGGTGCAGCTGATGGTGAAGCTGGAGCCCTGAAACACTCCTGCTGAGCTCGACTGCAGGACGCCTGTGACCCCGTCACTGGAGGACACCGAAATGATTGGCTGAACCAGCAGGTCTGAAAGGAGACAAATGATTGGCTCATCAGTTTTATCTGTGGTTTCAGCCCAGTTCAATGGTACATCACATTTGAATCTGAGGCAGGAATGTAAATCTGGAAACAACCAGCATCATAGAATTAGAAGATCATGTCAACTATAAGTACTTTGATACTAAAAGCAGCTTTGTTGGATTCTACCTGTGCACACAAGCTCCAGAATAGTACCAGACTGAGATGATGAAGACAATAATGATGATGATGCACACTGCCTTAGTGGATATCCAGATTTCAAACAGCTGAGCTGAATTTCCCAAACTTGTCTAACTGAAGAGTCATTCCTGGTTCCCATGGAAACGACTGAACCACAGTCCAACTCTCTGCAGGCTGCAGCTGCTTCCTGCATGGTCCAACCTGAGGCGCTCACTGGTCTCCATGTTCTGAGCTTCAGCTCCAGTGTTCCTTCACAGCGACTGGCTCCTCCCACCAACCTGATGGGTTCTGAACTCAAATCAAATCAGTCATCAGTAAATGATAGTTACAGTGTGATCAGAACGGGAATAACTCCGCCCCTTTTCTACCTGAACAGGTGAGTCGGACGGCTTTGTTAGGTGAGCAGGTGTTTCTAACAGAGCCTGATCTTCTACAGTCCAGGAGGGAGGATTCAGTTCCTCCACACTGGAACTCTGCTGTCCATGTTGGAGCTTCCACTTCTCCATAGAGCGCCCCCTGCAGGACTGAAGGAGGTCCACAGCCAATCTCCCTGCAGACCACCTCTGCATCCTGCTGGTCAAAGTCAGCTTCACAGACTGTAGACCAGATCTGGTTGAACTGGGAGGTTTTCACCTCCAGTCCGCCTGAACACAGACTGGTACCATTCACCAACCTGACAGAGTCTGAACAGAGGAAAGGTGGGAGAAATTAATCCTTAATATTAGTGTAATGCTCTGATATTCAACATCTTACAAGGTGGGCAAATCCAGTTCTCTCTGGCAGGAGTTCTTCATGTCTTTGTGCTGCATTAAACTCAAAATCAAATTTAGGAGAGAGGTCTAAATCCATGTAGGATTGATCATTTGACAACAAGATTTAGGTTCACAGATATCATTGGAGGAAACAATACTCCTGTTTTCTCTTTGTAACATTTCCCAACCTTGCAGATGATGTTGGAACAGAGTTGGGCAAAAACAAGTGAAACGGTAACGTCTTTTACTGGTTCTGGGTCAATAAGTACTTGTTAATAATAATTAATTTGATTTAAAAGTTACTCAGATTTACCTAAACATGTAACATCCAGGATGGAGGAAGATACATCTGCTGATGCGCACTCTGTCAGAGGATATCCAGGCCGAACACAGTCAGAACTGATCCACCACACGGAGCTGACTGACGAATTCTCACGTGTTTGAACAGAAACAGCAGAACCACATTTCATCTGACCACAGACGACAGCTGCTTCCATCAAGAACCAGTCTGGACCTTTAACTGGTCTCCACTCTGTTCGTTTCAGCTCCAGTGTTACTTCACAGCGACTGGCTCCTCTCACCAACCTGATGGGTTCTGAACACAAATCAGTCATCAGTAAATGATAGTTACAGTTTGATCAGAACGGGAATAACTCCGCCCCTTTTCTACCTGAACAGGTGAGTCTGACGGCTTTGTTAGGTGAGCAGGTGTTTCTAACAGAGCCTGATCT